TTTGGGTCAAGGGGGTGTTTGGGTCAAGGGGGGTGTTTGGGTCAAGGGGGTGTTTGGGTCAAGGGGGGTGTTTGGGTCAAGGGGGTGTTTGGGTCACGGTCACGGGGGTGTTTGGCTCAAGTTGGGTTTGGGTCAAGGGGGTGTTTGGGTCACGGGGGTGTTTGGGTCATGGGGGTGTTTGGGTCACGGGGGTGTTTGGGTCACGTGGTGTCAAGGGGTGTCACTGCAGTGAACCAAAGACAGTATCAAAAACACGGGAAAAGGGAATGTTCTAAGAAGGTTATCTCAAAGTTATGATGAAACGTTCTTATGGTAACATTAATAGAACATTCGTTCAGAGTTATCTGTGCTTTAATAATGCTCTCAAAAACAATATTCATACATCATTCACGACTTTAAAAAAAAAAAAAAAACATCTTAGTTGAACGTTGGTCTAATGTTACTACTTATTTCAGAACATTCAAATGCAACATTCCAATAATGATGAAACGGAATGTTCCCTTAACGTCTGTAGAACCATGACATTTAAAAAGCAACATTTAAAGAACTGTACATTGAAGGTTCCGAGAACATTCATAGAACATATTTGTTTATTGTAAAGTATCAACAAACTTTTCCTGTCATATCCGTCCCGTTGAGACCGAATGTCTGTTGGATAATAGAAACCCTCAACCCTGTTATTTACTTACTTAATCACATCTAATCCTCATCTCTCATGCCTCTTTACTTGTCTTCTTCTGTCAAAAGCTCAACGTCTGCCCTTTTCTTCCTCCTCTCGTTGTCTCAACCTGCCTTGCCCTTCTGCCTAAAATCCTCCCTCGTTCTTCCCGAGCCTTTCGTCTGCTTATTATGCCATTAGTCGTCCGGCTCTTACACGAGACAAAAACCAGTCCCTCTTCAATCTAAAGAAAGTCCTCTGTTTCTTCCCCTCCTTCCTGAAATTACCCGGCGACGCGTGCCTGCGTTTCTAATTGCGCCGGTCGTCCCCGGAGACAAGCCCCTCCCCCCGGCATAATGAAAAGCCTCGGCCTTAATTACTCCTGCTGAACGCTGATTGTTATTGACAAAACTCCTGTGGCTCGGACAAACGGCTCGAGATTAGCTCCATTACAGGCAGCGCTCCAAGAGGAACAACACAGAGATACTGTAGAGGGGGGGAATCGCCATCTGACAATACAAAGAACCTTTCTTTCTTTCGTTTCGTGTAACTCTCCTCTTCTTAATTTAAAGCTCGTTCGTTCGAGTGTCTCGTCGCAAACGCTGTGTTTTTTTAAGCCTGACTCTAAATATGTGACTTGAGGCACGCCGCTCGTGTGTTGGTCAACACTGAGCACAAATAGCAGCGTTTTTGGGCGAGTCGTGATTGTTTGCCTTCACTGAAGGTACATAGACTGTTTAAAGCCGATACAAGCGCTCCTGAAAGCGAGTGTTTAAACACCTGACGCCGTGAGAGTTCGGGGATTTTGTGATCTGATGTGCAGAAATCTCAGTGATTCAGAGGAGACTAACCCTGTGAAGCCTGACATGTGAAATAATGGAAAAGTTTATTGAACTTTTGAACTAAAAAAAAAAAGTTTGTATATTTGACACACAGGGCTTTTATGGTTCATATAGTCTGATGTGGAGAGGAAAAACCAAATCAGTTTTAATCAAAGTTTTCTGCAGATGCTGATATGTGGACAGGATGACATTCTGATGCTTGACAACATTATAGCAGATACTGAGAAAAAAAATCCACATACATATCAGTCGTCCCTCTATATCTGCTTATTTTTATGATCAAATCTCTGTAGTTTTAAATCATATAATGCAATGCAATACAATGATGATTGAGAGATGAACTAATACGCATAATATTTCTATAAATAATGTATGATAATCACGTAGAGCGAAATATTACTAACAATATGAAAGTTCTTCCTGCGTTTCCTTGATAAATCAGGGCAGATTTGACACAGAAAGACGTTTGTACAATTACACTGAAAGACTTTTACTAGATAAAAGAGTGTAAACTGTCAGTCAGAGACAGAAGGACTGAGGAGATCCAGTGAGGTTCAAATACTTGCATGTGTGTCAGCAACATTAAATTGCATTCGTTTTAATGAGCATTGAGAAATGTGAGTTTTCATGCAATTAATTGCAATAAAATGACTGCTGTTGTTCAGTATCTCTCACTGCATCTCTCTGACACACACACACGCGATTAGTATCTGGATCAGAACACGCTCTGCTATCAATGAAACATGTCTGTTCATTTCTTACACACTTCAAAGCAGCTACAAAGTTTTGTTTTAGTAGCAAGTAAAAACCATCCATTTTGCCGTAGTGTCACTTTAGCATCAAGACACCATTATAGTGTTTATAAATAGTTTTTACTTTAATATTTTCCATTTTAATTTTAGTTAATGTTTCAGTAAATTTGTTGTTTTTTTTGTCATTTTTATAGTCTATATAGATTTAATTCATTTTTATTTACGTTTTAGTTTTATTTATTTGAAATTAAATGAAAATGTTTAAGTCGACACACACTTCTGCTACATGTGACGTGTTATTATACAGCCGTTCGCAGAAACCACCGTGCTATTGTCTGATTTTTATCTTGTATTTTGGTAAAAACTAGGGCTGTCAAATGATTAATCGCAATTAATCGCATCCAAAATAAAAGTTTGTGTTTACATAATATATGTGGGTGCACTGTGTATAATTATTATATATATATAAATACACACACATGCTTGTATATATTTAAGAAATATTTTTATGTATATACTGTATATAGATTTATAAATAATTTATATTGTATATAAATATTTTATATATAAATAATATCTTTTCTTAAATATATACAAGCATGTGTGTGTATTTATATATATATATATATATATATATAAAATAATTATACACAGTGCAGCCACATATATTATGTAAACACAAACTTTTATTTTGGATGCGATTAATCGCGATTAATCGTTTGACAGCCCTAGTAAAAACCTGAATCTAGTCTTTGGGATTTTGGTAAACCTGCCACTAAACTGCATGTGAAAACCAGACCCGTTCACACCATAATGTTAAGACCTTTACAGTGCTTTACGTGTCTAAAATAAGACCCAACATGCAGCAGATTTGTCCCATTAGTCAGATCTGCTTGGGTTTGCCCACTGCTGCTGTAGTGAGAAGAGCCGGCTATTGCGTCGCTCTGGTCAGTGTGGTCATCTGATCATATGTCTCTGTAACAGTAAACCTCGTATAGGCGATCAGATGGATTGATTACTAGAACGTCAGCGCTGGCGCCACACCATACATTACCACGACCAGGTCATGAGGATACGTCAATAACAGCATCGGCTTTTATTGACAACAGCCCATCCGTAGTGCATCGTTTCAGTTCATAGTGAGATATTACTTGACTTCTTATCATAATTGACCGTTCGCAAAGACTTTAGTTACTGTTACATCATGACCAGGATACTTTTGATACCAAACAAAGTCTCAACTTTCAAATTTGTTCATTTTTTAAAGCAATTTAGACAGTAAATAGAGTTTTGTGGCTCTATAATGTGTCATAACAGCTCAGTACCTCGTGAACCGATCATCTCTTCCTTCTAGTTAACATATAGCATCAAATAAACATGAATGAACATCAGAAGGAATGTTGTTTCAAACATGGAAAGACGTCAATACACAGTTCAATTACACCGACGTTAATCTGCTTACTCTCCTGACTGCTTTGTCGCAATTAAGACAATAAAGCCCTGAGATATAAAGTCAGAATTGAGTGATTTAAAGTCAGAATTGCGAGATATAAAGTCAGAATTGCGAGATATAAAGTCAGAATTGTGTGATATAAAGTCAGAATTGTGTGATATAAAGACAGAATTGCGTGATATAAAGTCAGAATTGCGAGATAAAGTCAGAATTGCGAGATATAAAGTCAGAATTGTGAGATATAAAGTCAGAATTGCGAGATATAAAGTCAGAATTGCGAGATATAAAGTCAGAATTGTGTGATATAAAGTCAGAATTGTGTGATATAAAGTCAGAATTGCGTGATATAAAGTCAGAATTGTGAGATATAAAGTCAGAATTGTGAGATATAAAATTCAGAATTGTGAGATATAAAGTCAGAATTGTGAGATCTAAAGTCAGAATTGTGAGATATAAAATTCAGAATTGTGAGATATAAAGTCAGAATTACGAGATATAAAGTCAGAATTGTGAGATATAGTCAGAATTGTGTGATATAAAGTCAGAATTGTGAGATATAGAGTCAGAATTACGAGATATAGTCAGAATTGTGAGATATAAAATCAGAATTACGAGATATAAAGTCAGAATTGTGAGATATAGTCAGAATTGTGTGACATAAAGTCAGAATTGAGTGATATTAAGTCAGAATTGCGAGATATAGTCAGAATTGTGAGATATAAAGTCAGAATTGTGAGATATAAAGTCAGAATTGTGAGATATAAAGTCAGAATTACGAGATAAAGTCAGAATTATGAGATATAGTCAGAATTATGAGATATAAAATCAGAATTACGAGATATTAAGTCAGAATTGCGAGATAAAGTCAGAATTGCGAGATATAAAGTCAGAATTGCGAGATATAAAGTCAGAATTGTGAGATATAAAATCAGAATTGTGAGATATAAAATCAGAATTACAAGATATAAAATCAGAATTACGAGATATAAAATCAGAATTACGAGATATAAAGTCAGAATTGCAAGATATAAACTCACGATTGCGTTTTAAAGTCTGAATTGTGTGAAATAAAGTCACAATTGTGAGATATAAAGTTATAATTTGAAGATATAAAGTTAGAATTGCGGTTATATAAACTCAGAACTGCATGTTACAAAGTCAGAATTGCAAAAAAAATGACAGAAATTGACAAAAATGGGCGATTCGGCAGATTATGATTGGTCAGATCGCCTGTCAATCAAACTCCCTGCGAAGGGTGAATAGCAGACGGCCAAGAGCGCACGCAGACGGCCTACCTTGTATCGTTCTCTTGAAGAAGGCCTTGCAAGCTTCACAGGAGGCCACGCCGTAGTGATAGCCGGACGCGATGTCTCCGCACACCAGGCACAGGCGTTTAGGGATGGAGTTGAGCATGTACTCGCACTTGATGGAGGCGGGGTCGTCGAGCAGCGAGCTAGAACAGTCCTCGTAGCGCTTTCGGCAGGCGCTCGCCCCCGCGCCCAGCGGCCCGCCCGCCGTGAACATGGGCGGAGAGTCCAGGCCGTTGGAGTGGCTGTTGATGGCGCTGGCGTAGCCGCCGCTAGCGTCCGAGTGCGCGCCGGGACTGGGGTGGCTCGCCGTGTCCACCAGAGACGACGGACTCGAGGGCTCAGTCTTAATGTAGGAGCCACAGCTGGACGTCATGTGCCGCTCCTCAGCGGCCATCCTGGTCAGCAGCCTGGGGGAAACACACACACACACACACGTGAGGGGGGGACGGCAAGCGTGCAAAAACACAAGTGTGATGCCAGATCAGTTTCAGAGAAGTGTCGGCCCAGATCCGCGGCACCAGATGTGGGCCAAGACCAGATCGCTGTCTGGGCGCATTCATAAGAAAAGGGCTGGGGTGCGTTTCCCCGAAAGCATCGTTAGCCAACTATGGTCGCAAGTTCTGTCGTTATCATCAGTTCACGAAACCATCGTATCTCGAGCTACGGTTAGAAGAGTTTCTCGTTTGCAGGACGTGTGGACTCAATAAATCCGGATCTTGAGCAGAAAAAGCAAGCGGACATTCAGTGCAACCTATATCTTTTATTCACAACACATACAAATGTCACAGACAGCAATATAGTGTCGGCCCAGATCCGGCCCACAACCGTTATCAGCTAATGAAGATGACGAAGAGAGCGATCAAACGGCTGCTGTCGTTCAGTGAATAACATGATAACGGGCATCTCATATCAAGACCAATACTAATATTTCTCTTCATGATCATAGATGTTAGGATTATTGTAGCAAATCAAATCAGTCCAATACTGCGGCAAACGGCACAACGATATCAGACGACGGCTGCCGAAAAAATCAATTATTCAAAGCCTCAACAATCAGAATCATGAAGCAATCATTGTAACCGAAGTTCAAATGCACAGATTCCGTGTTGCATCTGTGATCTGTTGATTGGCTCGTGTGTAAATCCAGTGTTTCTGAAGGTGTAACAATTATTATAATAACACTATAAATGTATTATAACTGTGGTGACAATTATTCATTACAATACATTAACACACTTCTATCATACATTACATATAAAGGCTTAGAGTAAAGTGTTCTGCAGCCACAGAAAACCTCTCCACTCTTACACACACACACACACACACACACAGCCTAGTTTACTTCAGCCAGGCCTACACACACTGAAAGTCATACAGCTATTTCAGGGGTCACACGGGGTCACGCACAGCTGTTTCAGGGGTTACACACACACACACACACACACACACACACACAGCCTGGTTTACTTCAGCCAGGCCTACACACAAACACTGAATGTCACACAGATGTTTCAGAGGTCACACAGGGTCTCGCACACACACACACACACACACACACAGTTCTTTCAGGGTTCATGACGGGGTCACACACAGCTGTTTCAGGAGTTATACACACACAGCTGTTTCAGGGGTCATGACGGGGTCACACACAGCTGTTTCAGGGGTTATACACATAACTGTTTCAGGGGTCACGACGGGGTCACACACACAGCTGTTTCAGAGGTCGCACGGGGTCACACACAGCTGTTTCAGGGGTTATACACACACAGCTGTTTCAGGGGTCATGACGGGGTCACACACAGCTGTTTCAGGGGTCACAACAGGGTCACACACAGCTGTTTCAGAGGTCGCACGGGGTCACACACAGCTGTTTCAGGGGTCATGATGGGGTCACACAGATGTTTCAGGGGTCATGATGGGGTCACACACAGCTGTTTCAGGGGTTATACACACGGCTGTTTCAGGGGTCATGATGGGGTCACACAGCTGTTTCAGAGTTCGCACGGGGTCACACACATCTGTTTCAGGGGTTATACACACACACAACTGTTTCAGGGGTCACGACAGGGTCACACACAGCTGTTTTAGGGGTTATACACAACACAGCTGTTTCAGGGGTCATGACGGGGTCACACAGCTGTTTCAGGGGTCACGACGGGGTCAACCACAGCTGTTTAGGGGTCACACACAGCTGTTTCAGAGGTCACGACAGGGTCAAACCCAACTGTTTCAGGGGTCACGATGGGGTCACACACAGCTTTTTCAGGGGTTATACACAGCTGTTTCAGGAGTCACGGCAGGGTCACACACAGCTGTTTCAGGGGTCATGACAGGGTCACACACATCTTATTCAGGGGTGAAATCACAACAGGATCATGATGGGTCACACACATCTGTTTCAGGGGTCACAACAGGGTCACACACATCTTATTCAGGTGGGGTCACGACAGGGTCATGATGGGGTCACACACAGCTGTTTCAGGGACACACAGATGTTTCAGGGGTCACGACAGGGTCAAACCCAACTGTTTCAGGGGTCACGATGGGGTCACACACAGCTTTTTCAGGGGTTATACACAGCTGTTTCAGGAGTCACGGGAGGGTCACACACAGCTGTTTAAGGGGTCATGACAGGGTCACACACATCTTATTCAGGGGTGAAATCACAACAGGATCATGATGGGGTCACACACATCTGTTTCAGGGGTCACAACAGGGTCACACACATCTTATTCAGGGGTGGGGTCACGACAGGGTCATGATGGGGTCACACACATCTGTTTCAGGGGACACACAGATGTTTCAGGGGTCACGACAGGGTCATGATGGGGTCACACACATCTGTTTCGGAGGTCATGACGGGGTCACCAGCATTAATAAACCGAAGCTTCCATACAAATCAACTCTGATCATTATCCTGACCACCAGCACTGTTGTTATACTATATCATTGAGAGTTTTTTACTCATTTTAATTTTAAAAGTTTCTAAAAAATCTTCAATCTTATATTTCTAAATTTCATTTTTCTAAATAAATTCATAATAAATGTTTTATTTAGCTTTCGCTTTGTTTAACTCCATATGACAGATTTTTTTTAATGTACGAGAAATAATTAGTATTTATTACTTAGAGATTACATTTGGTTTATTGAGATACAATGATAATTTTTAAAAATATTTTTAATATTTGAATTAGTTTTTACGTTTACGTTTTCATTTTAGTTAAAGTTTTAGTGTTTTTATTTTTTTCACTTTAAATATGTCTATATTTTTTATTATTTTTCTTTCAGTTTTAGTTTAAGTTAAATAAGCTTAAATGTAGATAGCTGGAATAAAATAAGTATTTTTTATTTTATTTTAGATAAAGTTTATTTTATTTACGGTAACACAGATGCTCTCAATGCTTTCAGTCCTGTAAGTAAATAATAAACTGAACTCCCACAGAAGATACAAGCCCACGTCGACAGAGCCTCCTCCGACTGATTTAATAGTAAGTGCGGGTGACGCAGGGTTCAAGGTCAGGGGTCGAAGGTCACCCTTATTTTCTCGCGCCGGTTTCCCGTGGCCGTGGAGACGGGGGTCGGCGTGTCAAATGAAATCTCATCGCAGCGCTTCACCGTCTCTCGTGTCATGTTTATTCAACGGTATATTCCACCTCTGGAACATCACAGAAAGGTTAACGGCTCAAATAAATAATACAAAAAAGCTCCTTGTTAAAACACTGACCTTGCAGAAAAAAGGCCTCTGTCCGAGAGCGTGAGACGGCTGTGTCCCGGACACTGATGGATATTAGAGAGAAACCCCAAACCAGTAAAAATGAGTAAATGACGAGCGCTGCAGTCCAACTGTAAGAATGACAGTCTGAGTTCAGTTCAGACTCATCTCTGTCTCAGGACACAACACACACCAGCTGTCTATCCATACCAGCCCATTCAGTTCAGACCCCATGTGACGAAAATAATGTCAAATATTGCATTAAAATAACAAAACATCATCACAATGATGTTATTTACTGTTATCAACTGCAATTATATATATATATATATATATAAATGAGAATTTTTTCTAGCTATTTTTTAACAGCTGAAACTCGAGAAATTAAAATATTGTGCAATTGTTCATTTATTTCAGTAATTCAACTAAACTAATATATTATGTAGACTCATTACAAGCAAAGTGATATATTTCAAGCCTTTATTTGTTATAATTTTGATGATTATGGATTACAGCTCATGAAAACCCCAAATTCAAAATTACAATATTGTGAAAAGGTTTTCATATCTGTAATCCATAATCATCAAAATTATAACAAATAAAGACTTGAAATATCTCACGTTGCATGTAATAAGTCTATATAATATATTAGTTTCACTTTTTAAGTTGAATTACTGAAAAAATGAACTTTTGCACCATATTCTAATTTTCCCAGTTTCACCTGTATGTGTGTGTGTATATATATATATAGGTAACACTTTACAGTAGCGTTTCATTTGTTAACATTAGTTGACTACATTAGTTAACATGAATTATCAATGACAAATACAACTAAAGCCTATATTAATATTAATTAAAGTTAATTTCAATATTTACTAATACATTATTAAAACCAAAAGTTGCATTTGTTAATATTACTTCATGAACCACAGCTGTGTTTTTATTAACTAATGTTAACAGAGATTAATAAATAGTGTAACAAACGTATGGCTGATTGTTAGTTAATGCATTTACTCATGTTAACTACCTCATTGTAAAGTCTTACCATCATTTATAATATAATACAAATATAATAATGATAAAAAAAAAGGTCACACTTTAGTTTATGGTCCAATTCTCACTATTAACTATGACTTTTCTCATTAAACTCCTACTTACTGCTTTTTTAACATTAGTAAGGTAGTTGTTAAGTTTAGGTATTGTGTGATTAAGGGATGTAGAATATTATCATGCAGAATAAGGCATTAATATGTGCTTTATAAGAACTAATAAACAGCCAATATCCTAGAAATTTGCAACTAGTTAACAGTGAGATTTGGACCCTAAACTAAAGTGTTACCAAACAGATTCCAGTCCAGTAAATTTCCACAGAAACTGTGTTTTGCAGTCCTGACCGACACTGATGTTAATGACCGAACGCATGCAGACAGAATGAATCATATTATCTGTTTGTTTAATCACTCACGGCTGAAGCCGAGAGACTGTCGAACCGTACGCACATTCATTTGCTTTATTAACAGCCATATATTAGAAACAGTGGCACGCAGGGCACTTCCATTTAGGCTTTATCAGGAACTTCAAGGGGAGCTTAACCCCGGGTCAAAGGTCACGGTGAAGGGGACACTTAGCATAATTGCATAAATGTCTGAATGGCTCTATGCTCATATATAAAACATGCGCTCAGCAGAGTCTCTC